GGCAAGATGAGCAAGTCTGGGCAGCGATCGAGGGCAATTTACCATGCCATTTCCCAAATTTCCTTTCAATTTGCTGAAAAGTACATTTTAACAAAACCTCTGATGGGCAGCACTTGAGCCTATGCTCAGTATGCACCACAAAATGGGCAGCACTTTGAGTGTCAACTAAGAGTAATTTACGTCTGCTTCGGCTTGGTTATTAACGGCGCTTGCAAACAGCGACAAAATAATAATAATATATTAATAATTAATAATAATATAATAATACTACAAATGCCGAAGTAGAAACAAGTTAATCTGAATATCATAAGCAAATTTGTAGCAGTGTATTATTATAGCGGCACGCGATAATTATTGAATTAGATTCCCAATTGCCATTTCACGCTGTGATTTACTGTGCGAATCAATCAGCGATAAACACACACACACATACTGAAGTATGTAAAACATGATAATTTGATCAAATAATCAAATAGCTGAACGAATTAATTAATTGGTTTCACACATATAATAGTAAAATGAGATAGAGTAATATAGATGGACTAGAAAATACCCTAGGAAATACACTCAGCGAGATTCTACTCTGTTGGTACCAAATATCATAGAACACACCAGAGAAACGGACAGAGAGACGGACAGACGGGCAGATGAGCAGTTGAAGGAGACGGTTGAGACGGAAGCAGTTAGAGGCGGAGGAATGAGGGAAGAGACGAAGCAGCGGCCTGAAGAACAAACTGAAAGACGTATGAAAGAACAGTTGGAAATACAGCTAATGCTGCCACGCCTCTTTTAATCTATTACATCCTCATGCCGCCAGCTATTATACCCCATTTCAGTATTTGCAATAATTTCAAAAGCAACAACAAATTCCATAGAGCAACGCCCACACATCCTCACTCACACACACACCTAGAAAAAGCGAACAATTTATAAGCGATTCGAAAATTCTTAAGATTTAAAATTAAATTTTGAGTTTTTCTAAACGGCAATAATAATTAATGCCAGTTTTTTGCTTTACGGCAAATATAAATGGAACTTAATTGATTTATATACGCCATTAAGATATTGCATATATGATTCTCTATGATAATACTCCCATATATTTCTATATATATAAATATTTTTATTTGAAATATGATTTAGTGTCTAGGAAAAAAGAGACAATTTGACGTCACTTCTGACATATTGGTCATATGTTAATATTTTTTAATGTTTTTGTTAAAATATTGCACCAATAACATAGCCAGAAAATAATTAGAAATGGTCAGCTGTTCAGCTTCGCTCTGTTCAGTTAATGGAATTTATAGAAAATAACTGTTATTCATGAAGGGCAAACAAAGTATGAAGATGGGCAGGAGCTAGGAGCAGGAGCAGGAGCAGGAGCAGGAGCAGGAGCAGGAGCAGGAGCAGTAGCAGGAGCAGTATCATTATCATTATCATTATCATTATCATTATCATTATCATTATCATTATCATTATCATTATCATTATCATTATCATTATCATTATCATTATCATTATCATTATCATTATCATTATCATTATCATTATCATTATCATTATCATTATCATTATCATTATCATTATCATTATCATTATCATTATCATTATCATTATCATTATCATTATCATTATCATTATCATTATCATTATCATTATCATTATCATTATCATTATCATTATCATTATCATTATCATTATCATTATCATTATCATTATCATTATCATTATCATTATCATTATCATTATCATTATCATTATCATTATCATTATCATTATCATTATCATTATCATTATCATTATCATTATCATTATCATTATCATTATCATTATCATTATCATTATCATTATCATTATCATTATCATTATCATTATCATTATCATTATCATTATCATTATCATTATCATTATCATTATCATTATCATTATCATTATCATTATCATTATCATTATCAATCATTATCATTATCATTATCATTATCATTATCATTATCATTATCATTATCATTGTCATTGTCATTGTCATTATCATTATCATTATCATTATCATTATCATTATCATTATCATTATCATTATCATTATCATTATCATTATCATTATCATTATCATTATCATTATCATTATCATTATCATTATCATTATCATTATCATTATCATTATCATTATCATTATCATTATCATTATCATTATCATTATCATTATCATTATCATTATCATTATCATTATCATTATCATTATCATTATCATTATCATTATCATTATCATTATCATTATCATTATCATTATCATTATCATTATCATTATCATTATCATTATCATTATCATTATCATTATCATTATCATTATCATTATCATTATCATTATCATTATCATTATCATTATCAATCATTATCATTATCATTATCATTATCATTATCATTATCATTATCATTATCATTATCATTATCATTATCATTATCATTATCATTATCATTATCATTATCATTATCATTATCATTATCATTATCATTATCATTATCATTATCAATATCATTATCATTATCATTATCATTATCATTATCATTATCATTATCATTATCATTATCATTATCATTATCATTATCATTATCATTATCATTATCATTACCATCACCTTTAGCAATACCATTAGCATTACAATTACCATTAGCATTACAATTACCATTACCATTAGCATTAGCATTTGCCTTCGCATTAGCATTAGCATTAGCATTTGCACTTTCGTTATCATTGCATAGCTAATCCTAGTTCATCCAAAAAAAGCATTATCATTATCATTATTATATTTTTTATTGATTATTGATTCGAGCAAAGTAATGAGCTCGAATTAACATGTCCTTCATGGTCAGTTCATACAAATCATTTCACAGCTGATAGACTTTGATGCCAAAGCTCTGCATGATAGACAGCGTTGACATCTGCGCTGGCATCTGAGTTGACGTCTTGGCAGCTCTCTTAGCAAGATGTTGGAAAATTAGTTTTCGCTTACACTCCGTCAATAGGTTTTCAGTTGTTTGAGTTGCTGATACGATTAGCTGCTACGTGTTTTGGAAAACGAGATCAGGCCCGACCAGACTAGACTAGACCACCAAACAAGCCAGCCAGCCAGCCAGCCTGCCTGAGTAAAAGTTGTTGTTGTTTTGACATTTGACGATGTCGAACTTCAGCTTTGACGTTAATAATGTTGCCTTGATCGTCGCTTAAGATCACTTTTACAAACGCGCCAGCTCTTCGACCTGCATAGATAATTGATGTTGGCAACAGCAGAAGCATTCACTTAGCATTGGTGGCAAAATGCTAAGCGATCTACCTGCAGCAGTCTTTAGTTAGGATAGTCAAGGGTAATTATAGTATATTATATTTTAGAACTAAATAAGAAATATATATATATCTATTTTTTAAGAACAAAAAATCAATAATCAGCTTCAGTTTTTTTATATTTTCTTTTGCATCTTTAGGTCAGCTGACCTTACATGTAACTCAAAGCCTTTAGCAAGTCTTGACAATAACAAATTATTTAAATCGCGGCATAATTTTAGGCTGTAAATGAAAAGCGCAAACAAATTTGTTTAAAAATATCAATTGCATACTCTTATGAACAGCGGACAAATTCTTGATTTCTAAATAATGTAGCACACTTTTGGGCTGAAAAAAAAATTAATTGCACAAACCAGCCACAAATTTTAATTGAAATTTGACTAAAATACCAGGTGAACAGCAATGAGCAGAAAGCAGCTTAAAATGAAAAGGCAAACTTTTTTTGTTGCATAGCCTTGAGAGTCGCCTGCCACTACGGCTTACATCTTATAGCGTGTTCTCTAACAATAAGTATAGACAATTAGCTAACAATGGGCTGACATAATAATGTTAGTTAGCACATGTCTTTAACATGTTTCTGTTAGTCAGCATAGCAAATAACTAAAGAGAATCACAGTTTTAAATTGCAATTTAAGCAAACAATTTGCAAGAAGACTTAAAATTATATACACCTTAGTTTGATTACAAAGCTTAATTTCAAACATAACTACTTGGCAAACAATTAAAGCTCAATTTTTTCTTAAACTTTGCATAAGTAAACACAAATCTGAGAATAAATCAAATTAGTAGCAAAGCTCGCAAATGAAAATACCGAAAACAACTATAGATGATATGAAAAAATTGATACATATATCTGACACATATCTGCATAGTTCCCGTATATAATTTGCAAAAGTCTAAGCTTAAGTGAAATCAAAAGTATTTTTTTTTCAGTTCAGCTGACCTATAAATTGATCAGAAGTTCAAGTTCATGAGCGACACCGAAAACCCGATTTTCAGTAATCACAAGTATATTTAAGAAACTGATACGAGTTTGAATCGAACCTCATTTGCATAACGAATCGTTAATTGCTGTTAAACTTGTTTTCTAAACTCTGTGCTACTGACAAAAATAAAGATCTGAAATATTGACAGAAAATAAATATGCATTATAATATATTAATTTATACACAAATTGATTTACATTATCATGTTGCTTGTTGTGCATCCCTCAAGCATAAACTTGAACTTAAAAATAAAAGAAAATTCAGTAGAATTGTTAGTAAAAGAAATAATAAAGTTGTATGAATAGAAATAGTACTACGAGTAGTGATAAAAATTGTAGTAGTAGCAATAACACAAAAAAGTAGTGGTAGTAGATGTTATAATAGTTGTAGAAGTAAAAGAAATAGAATTATTAGATGTATTAGTAATAGTAATAGACGTAGTAGAACAATCGGTAGTAAAAAACACTCGAGAGACGCAGAACTAGTAGTATCAGTACAAATATTAATAGGTTTAAAGTTAGTATTGGTAGTAGACACATTCTAAGTGGAAACTTTTTAAATCGTGCAATCAATATGTAACGATTGTGATAATATAATGCAAAGCATTAACAAACGAAAACAATAAGGGTTTTTTTGAATCAAATTCATTTTGTTTATTATTTACAAAACATAAGAACTTAGTTCTTCTGGGCATCTAAGTTTGGGTGCTGTTGGATGTAATCAATCGCCCTCAAGATCGGCTCTGGAATTGGTGGTGGGGTTGGTAGTGGGGGTTGGGCATCAAGTACTTGGTAGCCATTTGCGTTGGCAATGTATTTAATGGCCACTTTCTCACCCTCAGGAGAGGTAAAGGCGCTATCGCCTTCAACAATCCATTCGTCTCCATTCAATTTACCACTTTGTTTTGAATCAATTGAATTGGACAGCGAAATTTGGGTGTTGTAGCTAACGGTGTCGGCATCTCTAATGTCTTTCAGAACTTCTGCATTCTCAAAGGCGTAGGCCACAGCCAACAGGCAGGCGAAAGTAATCTGTAAAATGCAAATATAATATTAGATAATATTATATTGTTAACTATGTGTATATGTGAAGGCTCACTTACTAAGAACTTCATGTTGTTTCCTGAAAGACTTGAGAAGACTAACTGATACCTAATCTCTCACTGTTAAAGCCTTTTATACCAAATTTTGTCTATTTGATTAGCATTATTTATGTAAATATATTATATTTCACTTGTATTAGTTATAGCTATGGCATATACAGAAACTTATCATAAGATCTGCTCGACTCGCCTCTTTTGATTTAAAAATAAAAACAAGTTTGAAGCATTTGGAAGAAGCGGAAATTGAATTAAATGTGTGATATATACTAACTGTCAACTAGCTAAACAAAAATATATCCATTAATGTCATAACTAGCATTTTTTACTTAATGGTAAATAATACTTTTTAGATACCTAGGTATTTTTATTAATTAATTAAAAACTCGCTTCACGTTTCACGCTTATGTTGACTATACAAATGAGAAAAGTTGACCTGAACAATCAATTATTGAAGAGCATCAAAAGACGAATCGATGTGGACCTGCTACATTCCATAAATGATCGATTTTCCATCATTTCATGCGTAAATCCTCCTCCTAAACAAATTGATAACATATTAAATTAGATACAATAGATCCTAACAAAAAATAAACAATTAAAAAATAATTTATATTCTATAAATGAGTTGAAAAATAAAATATAAAAAAATTAATTATATATGATTATTATATAATTCGAAATAATGGTTTCATTTGTCTTATCAAACTATATATTAAAAGTCTGCTTTTTCAATTATCAGTTCCTTATTTCACTTCGACAGAATATATTTTAAAATATAATAAAAACAAGAGAATAATAATATAAACAATTTTTAATACTGATACATTTTTTTCACAAATCTCAACATAATGGAAATCTTTAAAAAATAATCAAAATTGAGTTTCCATTTAATTATTATACAAATATTTTTTACTGTATTGGCTCGAATGTTTGATACTTCAATTAATTTTAAAGCCAAATCATTTAATTTCAATTTGATTAATGTTTGGTTTTTTTGGCAACAACTCACGTGAACAACAGGTTTCTATAACGTGCTATATCGACTAAGTGAACATAAATATTTTCCTTAAATAAACACCTCATTAAGCATGAAATCAAATTAACATATTCTTCAAAGTCAATTTCGATTTCATTTGTATTGCTAAAAATGTTACCTCTTCAAGCCTGCTAAACCTCTTTTTTTAAGAAACATTGAAAATGACATTGTCATTCCTCATATCTGTATGTATTTTTATCATTTACATAAATTCATATATGCATAAATTAATAATACAAATATTGTTTCCCTTTACTAATAAGCTTTAATTAGCGCCGGCTAAAATTATTTTAGCATAACTTCATTATGTTAGAACTGACATAAACATTGGCATTCTTGAATTGTTTATAGATGTGGATAAATCCAAATATCTCCATGGATGGTTGTCTTAAAATGAATCAGGCTTAATGTCATCAGACTTTTTATATAACAAGTTCGATACGTATAAATAGTTTTATTAGTATTTAATAGATTAATTTCTATTTCATATATATATATTATAAATACATTATGTATAAATTATATTAGAATTTATCTGAATATCACTCCACCATCTCTCTCGGCCCTCCTTGTTTCTTCTCCTGATAAACTTTTCCCTTCATTCCTTTCATCATCAATTGTTTGCTTTCCTGAACTCTGTTCTGTTTACACATTGCCGCTCATTAGTTTCTGTACTGCTCGATCAAACTTCCTGTAAAAGGAAATAGATTAATTTGTTGTTTTTTTTTTTAAGAAAATATTTTATGAATACTTGAAAGTCAATTGCTCGCCTGGAATGTAAAAGGGATTGCATACGGCATCCGTGTAAAGCATGTGTAAATTGCGAAATATCTGCAAGGCAAAATAAATAATTACTATAGCTAAGAACAGCTCTTCTTGCTTAAATTTGTGTACACTTACCGCACGCACCTCGTTCTCCCGCAATGCAATGTTGCTAGAATCAATGACAACAATAAACTTGATTTTGGAGTTGGTGACAAAACCGTAACTAAAAAAAACAATATATCTTTATTCGAATCGACTTATGTTTTAACCAGTAGCTTTTACATCTTATGATTCTCTGTTGAGAAAAGTTGACCCAAATAGAGTTCCTTGGACTCGGGCGCTCCCTTGCCAATTAAACATTTCTCTTCTACAACGTCGAGGGCCGCATGTACATGATATTGCAGATCCAGCTCACGCTCCACATCGGAGGTGGCCAAGTACAGTGGCGCATTCTAAATGTAAAAGATTTAATAGCCATATAATACAATAACTTAAAACTACTTGCGTCCTTGCCAATCACAGCAATACAAAATGCCATTGTTTTTTAAAATGTTTGGGTATTTTATTCACTTAGATGAACAGCTGTTTAAAAGATGGTGTAAACGTTGTATGTGAGTTTGAATGGCAATTAACGAAGTTGACAAACAAAAACACTTACGCTTTAAGTAAACTAAAAACAAGATTAGTAACTAACTTAAAAATTTGGTAAGAAAATTTGTTTGTTACAATTAGCAAATATGGTCGACTCTAGAGTGAAGCTGCATATATCACGTAACTATTAGTTATTAGTTAAAGTGATGCATACGAGAAATTTAACAACAAACAATCGTGCTGCCAACTTGGTAAAATGAAATGTGTACATTGTGAATGGTAATTTAAGAAGAAGATACGCAAAACACTTGTACGCTTTTAAGCAAAATTGAAAATTCTTGGGCAAAGATACAATATATGAGTTATACTGCTGATGATGGCATTTCATGTGGCACGCAACAATGGGGAATGGGGTGAACTGTTTAATATACCTCCGCAGGAAGAAATCGAAGTATACGTACACTTTGTGAACACAACAAATCGAACTCTCGATTTATATTGGGTACGCGATCCGGATACCCAAAATATACAAATAACATTAAAGCCGAATCAAGGAGTGCCCGTAAATACGTATAATACACACATATGGTTTTTTTGCGACTATTACACGGGCGAACGTATGCATGTGCGGTCGAAGCGTTTATTTTATCCTATACGCATACGAGTGCCAAGGAATCCCCAACAGCCGGATGAGCTATGTGACGTACGCAGCCAGGTTCTCATCCATTTTCCATTGCGTTCGCTAAAAGAGAATTGCTTGTGGCTAATTGTGCGATGGCTAAAACGTACCTGCAATACTCCAGAGTTGCTCATAAATAATTACTTAATACCCGCGACGCTAAAGCAACAGTTGCTTCTTTTACTAAGGACTATCAATTCCTATTACAGACAGGCGCATCAAAGGAGATTACGAATGGCAAATAGAAGATAAAGGAATCTTCGCATATATTCACATATAATTATTTTAAGACTCAATCTTAAGTTGTGCTGTGGGTAGTAAAAGCCAAGCTTGTTTTCTAAATAATTTAATAAGATTTTTTGATTTGATTTTTTGTAATTTTCTTTTTCGATTTACTTATGTACAAATTGGCTTGCATATATGCTTTAATATATATGTTTTTTTTTTTCTACAATTGCATTGTTTTATGTTTTTTCTTTGTAATTTATCATATAACAGAATACTTAGAACTAATATGTTTATGTAATTTTAATAAGTAAACAACTAAATAATGTCGCGCAAGACATATACAACATACACATAATATGCATCGATCTCTAACTGGTTTTATGAAAACTGTTTGTATATATATATACACATATAGATGGTGTTTGCTTGTTTTTATGCAAGTGGTATAGTTAGTGTTATAAGTGTGTACGATATAAGATCTATATATATATTTATATATATATATATATATATATATATATATATATATATATATATATATATATATGTATATATACATATATACATATATATATATATATATATATATATATATATATATATATATATATATGTATATATACATATATACATATATATATATATATATATATATATATATATATATATATATATATGTATTGAATATGTTCCATATGTTTTTTGTGAATACAAATCAAATCGAAAATTTGTTGTTAAACCAATTCACATAAGAATAAAAACAGGCATATTTGACAAATGTTGCCCATTTAATAACAAACAGATTAGAAGGTTAGAAATCACATGCGTCTGTGGAAAGCAACGCCTTTAGTTAAAGCACAATAACTCTGGTAGCTGAACATTGTAGCTCAATATTTGCGAGTCACACGCTCCAAGCTATCACCGATTGAACCTAGGATTGAATGAATATATAAGACTTAACTATAATTAAGCTACAAATTATAAAATACTCTCTGTTTGTATTTATGTGTGTGTATTTGTGATTATATGTGTGTGTGTGTGTATTGTGTGTTGTGTGTGATTTGTTTGTATTATTGCAAATATGCATTATTTACCATCAAAGTTAAAATTCTGCTTCGTTTTATATTGAAATGTTAAATCAGTCGATTGCTTCCATATAAAATGACGCACAGTACGCAAATCCATATTTGGATCAACGATCTGTATACGAAGTTAGATAGAGAGAGGTGACATTAGCTGGACATACGCACATATGTATATAATCTAAGCTTCTACTTACCACATCGTTACACCACAGCTCAATGCGTTCTTCTGCTGGCAGCTGTGATCCTTCAGAATTGGCATCGCTTTGACTATTTTGTAATGAGTTATTTGCATTGCCAGCACTGGGTGTTGTTTCCGCATTGAGCACCTTTTCAAGGACATGCTCGCACACCTTACGGCACTGTATAAACTCATTGGCCACCAGACGATCCTATTAAAATATAGAAACAATTGGTTATTTAAAATTAAATTTAAAAAAGTTTATCTGAAACTGTTTTCAGTAACCTTTTTGGTACGCTCTGGTTTCGTCATTTGTGGATGTGGCTGCAGGAAGAAGGGTATTTTAAGGAACTTGGGTATATTCCTTTCGATCACAACATCCGTCACCCATTGCGGCGCCGTTTCATGCAGCAGTGTGCTCTCACTATCGCCAGCTGCATCTCGCACCAGCAGGCGACACACTGTACGGCCACCAACCTCGCTACAAAAAATGAATATAAGATAGAATAAGGATTAACTGATTAGAATTGGAGAGTGGATCGTTTACCTAAATATGACAGGGGTGTGTTTGGGCACTTGAAAATAACCATTGCCCCGTACGTCGGGCTCCATCTCATTGGGTGGCATGCTATGTGGAGGCGTCCAATACTCGAGCAAAGCTTCCAAAAGTAGTTTGCCATAATTTATCTGCGAAAGTATTCATAAATATACACACAAAATTCAACTGTAGTATAAACATACCTTTATCTCAGTGGTTGGATCATCACATTCAGGCAATCCGGCTTCTATGGACACCCAGGCAGCAAAGCAATCCACCTCCTCCTGGCCTAAAACTATCGTAGGCATCTGTGAACGTCAAGAATATAATAATTTAATTAGTAAATTGATATATAATGCTAGTATAGTCATACGTACGCCAGTTTTAAGGTCAACCGTAAACCAATTTGGAATGTAGACTTGTTTGTTACGCTTCTTCACCTCCTCTTCATAGTCAACGGCACCTAGTTCCTCTTTTTTGGTAACGCGCAGTACATCATAGACCACAACCTGATCCTGTGAGTCTTTTGTTATGATATAACGCTTGTCATTCAGCACAGTACACTCCTTGATAGCTGCTCCGCCCTTAATGCAGGCCGATTCCGTGCCGCCTAGCGTCCACTGGGCATCCATGCCGCCAGAGCTGAGCGTACAGCGATCATACATGGGCAGCTTCCAGCAGCGAATATCCGAATTCCAAGTAGTAGCCCACACGCCAGTTTTATCTATATTGTAGCCAAGACTGAGCACAGGTGCCTTCTCCTCGCATACGAGCATCTTATTGCTGGGATTACGCATTTCCGTCACAATAATATTTCGATCCCTGCTGCCCGAAATAATATATTGAAAATTCTCGCTCATTAGCAGCGACCAAACGCCTTCCTTATGCACATGAATCGTCTGTATACAACGCTGTTGACCTAGGTTCCACACTTTGATGGTGCCATCGGAGCTACCAGAAACCACTTGATTGCCATCGGGCGATACAACCAGGCAGCGTACGTTCTCTGTATGACCGCGCAGCTTCATGCTGCGCATGCAGGTTCGCGGATCCCAGATTCTTAATATATTCTCTGTGGAGCCGCTGACAATGACCGTGCCGGAGGGATTCATGGCCAGGCTATAGATGGAATCCTTCGAGCCTGTTAGACTAGAGGTTGTAACGGTATTGTTGCTGGCAGTTAAAGCAGTTAACGTATTCACATCCCATAAAAATATGGCTTTATCCAAACCAGCACTGGCCACCTGTTCTCTATCCTTGGCATAGGCCAATGCCTGCACATAATCTCGATGCGTACGTAAGGTGGACATACAAAAGCCTTTATGTGCATTCCACACTTTAACAGTCGTATCACAGCTAGCACTGATCACTGCAATAAAATTAAGTAATTAATTAATGTTCGATTTAGGAGTTTGGTGCTTACAATTTCTGCCATTGCAGCAGAGTACAATATCGTTGACCCAATCGTTGTGATGCTCCATAGATTGTATATATTTCTCGTTGGCTTCAGTGCGTGTATTCCAAACGCGTATTATCGCATCTCGTCCAGCAGAATATAATTTGCCATTGTTACTATCCAATTGAAGAGCATTAACGCCATTCCGATGCTGTTTCTCTTCCGCGTCTCGTATCACAAAGGAAACCTGCCAAGAAATTGAAATGAGTACAAATCAAGCCCAATATCACGTAATCACAGTCAGTTGGTAAATTAATTGAGTTTCCTGTATGCCTTAAACATTCGCACTATTACGGACCCGGTGTTTCTTATTGGGGATACTCGTATTAACTCACCTGCATTTTTTTTCGTGCCTGGCAAGTTTTGTGCGTCAACATGTCTTACACGGCCGTAGCTTAAGCTGTCGTTGTTGCCTGTATTTTGTGTAATCTTCACGTGTTTGTAGTCTCCTGCTGCACATTAAATACACGCATTAATTAATTTCTTATCCTAGTTGTAAAATAAAAACTCAACACTTTAATATGCTTTTCGGCCAATGCACGACAATTTGCTTAACGATGAATTTATATCGATATAATTTGATCAAAATACAATTATATGGCGACTCTGTGGCAACGCTATGACTTCAAATTTTAACAACTTTAAATTGAATATAAAATAAATTATGACTAAATGAAATATAAAATACAATATATAGTTGCTTATACTTGCTTGGGAATATAAATATGTATGTTATATATGATTTTAATATGGATAACATCGACTTAGTCAGCGATAGCTTGCCACCATGTTTTACAAGTGCCGGCTTTCAGGCCATTCGCAAAGTTTTCTTGTTTCCACTAACATTGCTTATTTAGTCAAATAATATTAAATAAAAAACGTTATATAAATAAAAATTCCATACTATAAGCTATTCTTGTATGTGAACTTACAGCGCTTTAAAGGAACAGTAAAACCGGCACAGTTATTCTTAGTTGCGATATTTCGCAACACTGTTCTTTACATAACTAAAGAGAGCAGCAGCTTTTTACTGCATTTGTACATTATCAAAAAAAATTACATACAATGGCTAGCACACAAAGTAAAGACGCCTGCACCATTTGCGAGAAGGTCGGCTTAAAGCCCTTCACCAAAGAAAACATTTTCAACTATTACATACCATTGCACGGAGTTGTTAGCTATGGAGCGCTCAGCGTCAACGTGATGAATCCGCAGATTGTGCCAAAAATATTGCCCAAAAAGGATTTGACAAATGTGTTCCTAATCTCTGCAATTGTTGGTAGCGCCTTCTACATATACGGCCGGCCACACTTAAAGGATATTAAGAACAACAAACGTGCAGCATACGCCCTGCTAGGCGCCACACTCTTCAGCATGGGCTCGGTGCTCGCCTGGGCGCTGATCAAGTCTGCCTTGCCCAAGGACAATGCTTTGCTGGCGACAATCGCTGGCATTGGCACTGGGGCTGCCGTCGTTAAAATCGGTACCGACTACATTCATGATCTGGACAAGCTTAAGAACTGAAGTGCAACGGCAAGAGATATATAATATATAATATATATGTATATGGTAAAGGCGATTTATGATGTATACTAGTTTTTGTAAAGTGTTTTCCCGATCTTAAAACGCTCTTAATTAATAACTTGCAAAAATAGTAACGCTCGCAATATAAATAAAAATTATTTAGTGAAAAAATAAATTAATGCAGTATCTGTTTGAATATTTTCCAGGAATTATAAAACGAAAAAATATAAGCATTTTGGAAGAAAACTAATTAAGATCAAATGCTTAATACATTTTTTATGATTTTTAGAAATTTTGGTTTATGAAATTTTGAAAACAAGACAAATAAAATAAACAGTTGAAAATTTTAAAAATAATCTTAATACAATTTATAAAAAAAATTAATTTAGAAATTATAAATATTTTGATTAAAAAAGATTTTTGAATTTTAAAATCTTTTGATTGATAAGACTGGTCCGCAGAATATTAAAATTTGTTTTTATTTTAAAATTAAATGTACCTTTAATTGCCTTCTCTTAACCGCTAATAATGCTTAACAATTGAATTGTTTTCAATATATGTATGTGTGTGTTGGTGTGTGTATGAAATCGTCTGATTTCAATAAAGAAAGTTTACTTAAACGCCAATATACTTATTTACAAAGTTGATCTGGGGGTTAAAACGTTCTACAAATTTGCCTTAATGACATTCAAATTGACGACTACTATTTATTGTTAATCATTTTTTTTTTTCGATTTTTTGTATAATTTTTTCTTCAATTGTTTTGTATTGCAAAAAACATACAAATTAGTTGTAAACTTAATTTTAAATATGCATACATACTTTACAAACATACAGTGGTCATTCTTTAGTGTCTTATCTAAGATCTCTAATGAATATATATACATATATATTAATATATATATATATATATATATATATATATATATACATATATGTAAAAAAAATCATCTAAACATCACTATATATATACATATATATATATATATATATATGTATACATATTAGTTTTCAATTTTCTCATTATCAATTAAATTATGAATACATATATATTGCATTTACAAAACACAAGAGTGCGCGGACCTAGAAATCAAATTTGAAGCATGAAATTGGAAGATGCGAAGCGATTTTCGACTATTGCATTATAGTGGAGAACAGAAACCACACAACACTAAACGCTTTTCTTTGCTCTCTCTCTCTCTGTCTCTATTTCCTAATTGTAATTACAGAATGCAAAACAATTTCAATTTGTTGGTGAAAGAGGCAATTGTTATGCATTCTAGTGATAGTCTCTACTGCACTTTTAGTTGCACGCCGAGTACCTCGCGCAGTTCGTGCAGCTCCTGTGGTCCCTGCATAAGGCGCTTAACGCCGCGTGGCAAGCCGCGACATGATGCTAAATTAATTGAGCTCATGTGCACACAATTCGTGAGTATTTCCTTAACCGCGTCCTCGGATACGGATGAGCCGCACAGATTTAAGTGGCTACACATAGAAAGTATAGAATTTTAATTAAAAATATCTAATACACAATAATAAATAGTATTTTGAAACTTACGCCAATGGCGATTCTTTGCCTTTTTCAGCCAGTGCACGCAAGGCATTATCTATGGGCTGCTGTACATTTGCCCAGGCCAAATCCAGTTCAATGAGACTGTGCGCCCACTTCGACGCAATGAGTTCCAGACCCGACCTAGACATTATATATGTGATTAATATTTATTATACATTTTTATTTTAATTACCCACCCCATATCACGTGTAACCGAGCAGCCTGACAGAAATAAATGCTTTATATCCCAGGCTGGCAAACGTATTAAACTCTCGTGAGTTAGTCGTGTGCAATTGCGTACATCCAGAAGCTTCAATTTGGAGCTGCTCTTCAAGATGCGCTGCAAATGATCATCACTTATGATACGGGATTCATCAGTCAAAGCGGCCACTGAAAGCTCTTCGAGATTGGGAAAGCCTGGTGAATCCATCTGCGATGAAAACCAAGTTGTTTAGAAGATGCAGAGTAGAAAAAAACATTAAATACATACAATCTCCTGCATGCCAGCTGTACTAGGCGTAATGTGTGAATTGGTAACACGCAGAACCTTTAGCTTTTGACAACCATGCTGCAGCTTCTCTATGTACAGCACGCCATGCGATGTAGCCTGTGTGGTCACATTCGAGAGATCTAAGAGCGTCAAGTTTGGACAATACGTCTGCAATGAAATTAATAAATATTTATGTTATCATAAGTTTTCAACTGGCTAAGACAGGACTCTTTGCTCATTGAGGAATCTAAATGATTCATCCACTTAGGTAACTCATATACAAAATTAATAAATAATATAATATTAATAAAGCTAAATTTTCTTTCGCACCGCTAGAACGCTGACAATATTGGGTATGCCCGCCAGACGATTATGTGCCAAGTAAAGGTGGGTCAAGCGACTACCCATGGTCTGCAACGCATTGCACAGCGAGTTGACACCCACGGCGCTCTTGCTAGCATTCATCTCGACCTGCAAAAAATGGAGGCATTAAAGCACCTGTATAAAACGTATTAAATTGTTTTCCTACATTGATAGAGCTCAAGTCTAAGCGCTGCAGCTTTTGCATATTATCGACCAGATATGTTAAATGATCCGATGTGAAACCCTTCCAGCCAGATAACGTAATGCCCGTTAAATTGGGACACCCACTAGACAACTTGACCAGAAAACAATTAATGTCCGATATTTTCCAATTGGCTGTAATTCACATAAACAATTAATAATGGTTTATTATCGGTAAAACTCACAGAACTACTTACAAACATTTAGTTCAGTGCACGCACTGCAACGATTATCCACAAACCATTTTAATTTGAGTTCCGTGCGATATTTCTCTTTGATCCAGGTGGTCAAATCCATTGTGCGCCATAGCGTGGGCCTAAGCGATACTTGTCTCCACAGCGAGCAAACACGTCCAAGACGAAAAAGCGTGGGCAAGCAACCCTCCTTATCGACAACATGTTCAAAGATCTGCAAGAATATAAGATAAATATTGCAATTAATTGTATAATGTGCACCTTTCCTATTGCCTTACATGAAAGAGCACTTCCTCGGGCAAGCCGTGGCCCCAAGCACTCTGCTCAATTGGCTCGGCATCTGCTTCTGCTGCTGCAGCATTTGATATTCGCTTTTGACGCTCGCTATTATTACTACTCCCGCCGCTGCCGCCTTTTTTTTTGCGCGGCTCGTATTCGCTCTCGTCACTATCCTGCTGCTTCGGTTTGCGTACTCGTTTACGTGCAGGTTTCGCTGCTGACGATGCGGATCTTGGCGAAGGAGCTACTGGCGTTGCAATTGCACCTGTGGCTGGCATCTCTGCCCCGCCTGCAGCTGCTTCCGATTTCTTAATGCACAACTTGATGCCAACTTTGTGGTCACTGATTTCGCTTTCGTACATGGGCAAAGCTTTCAGTTTACGCGCACGTGATGCTCGAGGCGATGTAGTGGCGGACTTGTTTAGTTTCTTATTGAGCGCCGTTACCAGCGGTTTGCCCGACTTTGGTATGGTGCCATTAACTGTGGTTGCTTTATCCAGTTCCTCCTCTTTTGGTGCTGGCTTATCGTCTTGTGGCTGTAAATCTGGTTCTGCTATTGGTGATCTCTGACCCTCAGAGGCTGGAGAGCAAGAGGTCGATGTGGCCGTATTTGTTTCATCCGTTTGTGTTTCCGACTTCGGCGGCGATAATATATTCTCGGGTATGGCTGTTGCAGAGGTGCCACCACTGGAAGCTGCCGTTGCTGTAGTTGTTGTTGCACTTGTTTCAGCCGCCAGCAGCTGAGGCGGCGTCTGTGATGGTGTTGACGGCGTTAACGTATTTATATCCACTGTGGTTACTGAGGAATTAATGGGCTTTACGCTTAAACATTGCTCGCTTTGTGCCTGCACACTATCTGCGTCCGTATCCGTGTCCTTTGTTGTTACGTCTGCATCGCTATCTTTGGATTCTTTAATGTTAGCCGCATTTCCTTCCTGCTCGTCATTCTTTTCGACATCATTTGTGGTCGTCGTCTCCTTGGCGTTATCCGTTATTTCACTCATTTCCGTACGGATTTTCTGAAAATTAAAATTTGTGATGGGTAAATTTGTGCATCCATTTTATAGCGGCCGGAAAATCGATGCAAAACAAACTCAACCCATTTTGGCGGTTTTTCCCGATTCTCTATACGTTCTTATTCTTGAGAGCTCTCCCAACTCAACATGCATTCGTTGAATCTCACCTTCAACAACAAATTACATATGTATTTTTTTGTTTTTATTTTTATTCGTTTGTTCGCTTTTAATAAACAAGTTGTGGTAGGATCGCACCGACACAACTGTTACCTGCATGCTTATTCTCCACACTGCTTAAGCACTTTGCTTGCTTTTCAATAAATCGTGTGGCACAATCTTATCTCATGCTGATAAAGAAAATTTATGGAAATTAGCTTCCATGGGCATAAATCCCAAAAAACATGTTGATTTTCCACTACCAAGCAAGCGCTGCACTTACATGCCGCGCGCTACAATTGCAGGGTGCAATAATCGGCATTCAACTCACCACTTGAAGAGAGGTAGGTACACAAATGTATGTTATCTTCGTATACCACTGTTTGGTTCACTTGCACTCGCTGCGGTACTATATCAACGCTCCGGTGTGAACAGTGCGGCACTATGTGTTAGTTTGAATTTGTTCAATTCGGAAAAGATTTTTTTGGTTGGCGTTCATGGAATTTTTTACGTTCTGCTATTAAAACTTAAGCATTTACATTTTTGCCAAGCACTAGAGGCACTGAACACTTATTGATCATGGCATTGACAACGATTTAAGCATATTTAACTTGCCGATTCAATAAAAACTTATTTTAATCAACTGCAACGACGTAGAAACGAGAGCAGCGATGTTGTTGTCGTATCGATACACGACATCGATAGATGATTTTACTCAAGCCAGTGAGACCAAACTAGATAATGTCTAAAATACTAAAAACCCACAACAGGCGCAATTAATCTAAAACTTAATAGCCAAATTAATTTCAATGCAAACTTTATTGTATTCTGGAAACTAAACGGAGCCAAGCTTAAAAAGGATTCTCTAACATTGTTGACTTGTTTAATATTCGAGATCCAATTTGGCAATCTCTGGAAGAACAGTGAGATCCTTATGAACTTCCAACCAGCGTTTCGCATGATATGATGTTTTTTCAAACGAACGTCCAAATTTGTAATTCTGACCGGGCACATGACCGGAATAAGTGGGATGCATGCCCTGATTATTATGGTAAACGATGAAGTGTCCAACTGGCGGACACTTAATAGCTGGAGTTGTCAAATCTTGTCCACAACACCACTTATCGCGCTTCTTTTTATACATATAGTCCGAGAAGCTGCAGAGGGCATTATGGGTGAGCACCTTGCTTGGCTCCCCGAAGCGCGTCATAGCCATCGGTATATGAGCAGCATAGCCATTGATGATGAACTTGTCCTGATCATCATCATCCAAAAAGTGGGGTGAAGTGAATTTGCTATAGCGCAGCTTCTCCGTTGTCGGCGGGCACTTCTCGTCTTTGATGCCCCTGCAGACGTGCGTAACGGGTATCAATGGCGCGCGATACTGCGAACGAGGTAGCTGCAAGGGGAACAGATGCTATAGCTAACAGCAAAATATTTGAACAGAGAAAGTTACTCACTAATCGCTCATTCAATTTGTGCTCGAACAATCCTCTTCCACTCTCTAGTAAATCTCGATGACGTATAGTACGCTGCTCGCAACGATAGAGCTGCATTAGCGTCTCGTGCTGAGCAACACCCGCTGTGGCGGCGGCTACATAACGTTTACCCGTCTGCTTGAACATGTTGGGCACAAAGCCCGCATAGCCCGGGATAATGGGATGTTGATATACTGAGTCTACAAACTCACTGCGATCGTGCAGGATTTTCAGTTCATTTGGTGTAGGATAATCTTTGATATCAGGCTTGGCATTGATGGGCGCAAGTATTAGTTCAGGTGCATGATTACTGCAAGGATCGATAAGCAGCGTATGCGTCTGTCTGCCGTATGTCTTGCCCACTCGATCACGATTCTCAGGACAGTGCCCGGTATAACTGTAAAGAGAGGGTGAGGAATAATTTCAATACGCAGCTAGATACATGCACACAAGCACATTAATGTGCATGAAAGTGTAACTGTATATATTGAAAAGTAATTTAATTTGAGCACATCAACGTTTTGCTCCATTTCCTAACATGTAATAAGTAAACATTTTTTAAGAACGCGTTAAACCATTTGACTATTTTAATAAACATTTCATCTACAAGGGAAGAATATACATAACAGAGCGCTATTGAGAGTTTAAACTTCTAACACTTACATGCGTACGTAAATAATTGCGAGAAAATAGAAAAAAGTTGATTACTAGAAACGGTAAACAGAGAGCGGCCATCTCCCTTGATCGCACACCAAAGCCTATGGGTCTGAAGCGAGTGAACAGGCAATCCGAACAAATACGAAATTGTGGAGCAAGCTGCACAGACGCACAGACTTTTTGTTGTAAGAGTTTGCATTAGATGTCTCAACTTTGTATGCATGTGTGTGGTTAGTAAAGAAAATTGTATGCATGTGTTCGGTTAGTGGTGATAGTTACACTCTCACCCTGGCACCAAGTGAGGCTCTGGAGTCATAGTGTTGTCCATTTTTCTTATCTAAAACTGTTTTTACTACAAATTTGGAAATGTAATTATTTTACTTAGAACAGTTGAGCTATAACATAAAAAGTAAAAATTTTTATAAACATAATATACAAATTTACATAAATCTAAGTCATGACAACTAAAACAGCTTTTGTGATGTTTCTGGATTTGAATACATTGACAGTTGGCATTTATCAGTTGGAAGATTGCAATGTGCTGACAGACTCGAATAAGGCTAACAGCTCCATCAAGGTTGATCAGACTCCTGCAATGGTCAGCATATGCTCAATATCCACAATTTTCTCTCGAGGCTTGCCCTTGGATTTGCCAGCTTCGCATTCTTGTTGATCAATTCTTAGCCAACCATCCCAACTGACAATTCTCTGGCTGCCCACCTCAAATCCAGGTTTGGTTGAAGCTGTGTCGAAAGCTTTTGCTGTTATGTCATCGCAGATGGTTTTGGCTACAGCAAAGGCGCCATTCATAGTGGTCAAGATGACGCCCGTAGGTCCACTGGCCAGCCATCCAGCCACATAGAGCCCTGGTTCCACGCTTTTCTCTTCACCATCCTTTAGCACACGTCCTTGCTCATGGCGCACATGTCCACGTTGTGGATCGAAATTGATGCCTGCATCCGCGCAGCTGGATTTATAGCCAATGCTGCGCAATATAAGATCAGCTGGCAGGCATTCCGTGGCGTCCGTAGCCACCGCTACACCCTCACGGAGCTGCGTGACAGCAAATTCCATTTCCTTGGCAGAGATGGCTTTTGGGGCACGCAGAAAGACGGGCAGAAATTGTCTGCCCGCTGCAGCTGTTGAGCTGCGAGTGCTTTGCTCGCTCAGACTTTTGAGCATTAGCTCGGTTAGACGTCTCCTTGGTCTCTGCAGCTGCTCCAGCTGCTCTGCTATGCCTATAAAGCAGATAGGACAATTTAACTGGATTTTACATATCTAATCGTTACAGCGTTTACCCGTAAAATCAGATGAGCGCCAATTAGTTGTTACATTAGGCAATTTGAGCATTTCGCGCAGCTCTTTGATGGTAAAGGCAGCTTGCAGTGGTCCACGACGTCCCACCAGATGCACACGCTGCACCTGACTGCGCGCCAAAGCCTCCAGAGCATACTCCGTGGTATCTGTAATCTTTAGGAACAATAGATTAGTTGAAAAAGTTATAGTATATTCTATATATGTTTACCTTCAGTTTATCTATTGGACTCAGCAGCACGCGCGCCACATCGACAGCCACATTGCCCTGTCCCACAATCGTTACATCACGTCCGCTCAGATCCGGCTGCAGTTGCTCCGCTCCAGGTAAACCATTATACCAAGCCACAAATTTGCGCGCGGATATGACATGTTGTTCCTGCTCATTTTGTAGCTGCAACTCTCGATCCTGATCCGCGCCATAGGTGAGCAGCACAGCGTGATAGCGTTGCCTCAACTCCTGCAAGCTGATATCCTGGCCAAGGCTAACATTGCCAAAGAAACGTAAGCGCGGATTTTCTGCAGTTTTTGTAAACGTATTGATGACATTCTTGACCTCCGGATGATCGGGCGCAACACCAAATCTGGAATGTTGATTTGCATAATGGCAATTGTCATTAGTCGATAAGTGTCAAGCTGTTATCCACACGCAAAAGCCATTAAATATAAATGCCACAAGTAGTTGGCCGAACAAAAGACATTTGGCACTCGATTCCCCAAGATGTGGACGACTCGTGCTTTGATTGTGTTTGGCCTACTGATGTTAGTTTGCCAGCTACTGCTTGTGGAGAGTGCACCTGGCCCAATATGGAGCTTCGACCAGGTGGGCTGTAAGTAGCTACAATTGGATCGTCTCTCTCTCTCTCACATTTCTTTTGCAGCCTACTTCAATGGCATTTTTCGCTCCGTGGTTGGCCCAATTTTTGGGGTGGATGATAATGCCAGAAATGGCAATAGCACAAGTAATTAACTTAACTCTCCCAGCTTACCGCACCAATCCAAAAGGCACCGGCAGCTTCTCAACAATGTCCACGGTGCAGTCGCTCAGCTGTTTGAGTAAATATTGAGCTGCATAGAAACCGGCTGGACCAGCGCCCACAATGCATATTCGTTTGCCCGTCGTCACCTGTTGCACATTTTGTAGTCTAATTGCACTTGTATTTACACTCCGACTGTATTTATTTAACAATTTAAGTCGCGAATATACCAGATTCTTAGCGAAACTCATGTTTGTCTTAATAAAAAGCTGTGTAATGGTGAAATCGCACAAACCAAAACATAGCCCCAGTGTGACCGTTGCACCCACTTACGATGTGGCAGCTCTGGTTGCTGGCTGCGGAGCGGCAATTTTAAATGCTAACCCACAGCTCTTTAATTCCCCAATTGAATAAAGAACATTTGTATTAAAGTTTATCTAATCAATCAGGCAATTTAACGTACTAAACGCAGAAATTACTGCTTAAGCCATTACATGTACATTAAATTTGCACATCGCGTCGTGAAAATATCACAGATGTAAGCATAATGCCAGTTTAGCCACTCTGGTAACACTGACAAAATTAGAGGCAAATTTAAATTGCAATGATTCGCATTTATATTTTAACATAGATTAACAATTTGTATACTTTCATGCAATTTTGAACGTGCTTGATTAAGCGCAAATTTTGTGTTTTCATTTCTGTATTTATTGGTGCAATGCAAGCAATATTTAATCGTGGTGCAGGGCTAGCCAGCGTTTAGCGTCGATAGTGGATCGGCCAAACGTGTGGCCCACTTTAAAAATTTCGCCCGGCACATGGCCGCCATAATGGGGCAGCATCCCAATAACGCGAGGATAAATGGCACCGTTAGTTTTGGCAAAGGAGCGCCCGACACCCGCGCTGCGTATGGGCACCCACTCAACGCTGCGACGAAAGTATAAATCGTCTTTTGGATTGCACCAGCCGCCCGTGGGCAAATAAAAATCGAAACCACCTAAAGAGTCAACCACAATTAGTTACAGAACAAATAAACATGACAACAATACCCACGACTTGAATAGGACATTTTGTATTTATCAATAGTTGTGTTTAGTCTTGGCGATCACTGGAATAAAGTTTAAAGCCAGAAATTTTCTTGTTACTCTGAAATGTGTCGAAAGCTGACAGCAAAGCCTACGATGAAACGTTTTATTTTCTTGTCATGGCAACGGTCTTGTTTATAAGAACATATATAACACATATATATGGCTAATTATTGGGGTATTTTAGCAACAAGTTTTGCTATTGTCACGAAATGGCTTCAATGCGCAATGAATGTTTTTATTTAATGTCAAGTAAGCACGCAAAACAAACTCATTTCTTTAACTTTTAACTTTAAATGTTATATAGTTTAATACGCATAATGGCTACATATATTGTATATAAATTGATTTTCATTTACAGGCAACTTTTATTTGAGGTTTTTTTACCATTTAAAACAAAACTTTTGCAATTTAATATAAATTTCAAAATGAACAATTATTGCGGTATGTAGCTATATAATTGTTTTCACTATATTTATATATAAAGACAAGGAGATGATATATAGAGAGCGGTCGCTTAGTTCGATTTCTTGATTTTCTTCTGCTGTTTGCTCTTGAGCTTCTCCTGTTTCTTGAGCTCCTTCTCAGTCAGCGATTTATAGAGCTTGAAGCCGAAGAGAGCTGTAAGAGACGTAAACGGAACAGTTTTAGTTATCTGTAGTAAGGCTATTATAAGGGCGTAATATTAACCGATAACCGAGACGATTAGAAATATGACAGCCACCACAATCGAGGTGGTATAGGCTTGGGAGATATGCGTATGCTGTAGCAACCGCTTTTCTATTCTGGCTATCGCCTCCTGGATGGAGCCCTTCATCTCACTGACAAACTGATGTCGATCGACATCGGTTAAGGAATCCATTTTGCTTTGCAGTTTGCCAATTTTCTGTATTAGATCCTCGGCGAAGCGACTATGCGGCCCGGTTTTCTCAACCAGCGATTCCACAGAACGTTTCAGATGCTCAATTATGGTTTCATCATTCGAACCCATTGCACAAGTTTACAACAAATTTTGATACGAAATTATATTATAATAATAATTAAAATAAAACTATAGATAGATAGAGAGATGGAGAACTATCGTCATGGCCAACCATGCTACTCTGACCAAAAAACCTTTTTTATGTTGTTTTTCTTTACTGATTTTTTTTTACAATTTTTGTGGTGGATTTCTCCTATCTTATCGGAAATCGAACAGCTATAAAAGCCAACATTCTCAAAAAAAAAACAACATTTATTTCTGAGTATGTTAACAGCGCACACTATCCACAGATATCACATACACACAAATATATATATATATATATATATATATTGTATTTGTATTCTATACCCATTGCAAATGGTTATATAGGGTATATTATTTGTACTTATTTAAGGAGCAGTAGATCGCTGCAGTTGCTAAAAATAAAATAGCACCGACACCTGTTCAGTTATCAAATTATATGTGTTTTGAGAAGTAGAGGACCCATCTAAAACCCTTTACGCAAGCAAACAAATATTACAATAATATTAAAAAGAATATACAAACAGAAACTACCACTTTTTTTATCAATGTAACTGTTATTACTACTGTTATTGCTCAAGAAGTCAAAATTTTCATCAATACAAAAAAGTGGCATAATGGTGCTATTAATTGTTTCGCCATTGATCATAGTGGTGCTATTATTTATTTCTCAACTCTATTCTCTATGGGAAAAAGAAGCTGAGACGATCTAGCTATCTTTGTCGGTCTGAACATTGAAATATATATTCTATATATATCTAATCTAGATAGTCTTATACTATCTAGATTGCTCTATTGATAACTCATAAAGTTGCTTTGCCATCGATAAGACTTGACAATGAAACTGCTTTCGACCAGCTATAAAGCTAGAGGCATCAAATTTGGTATATATGTAACTCTAATGCCTATGCCTGGTACTATGCCAATTAGTAGAGATTTTAAATATATCTAAAGCCGAAGTTATTCAAGAATAAGTTTATCACAAAAAGAGGGACTATAGAACGAGGAAGAACAATGCTTAAGTGTGAATGTGCGTGTGTATATAGAGTGTTGTAATGTTTATGCTTGAATATGAGAGTGTCGGGATATAAGAAACAGCCAAAACGAAAAGAGTTCAGATTAATCCTTAGTCGAGCATTTCCGACTCTAATTTCCTACGTTTCTTTGAAATTTTCACGAATTTGTGGTAATGTTCTCAGCTTACCGAAGACTATCAATATGAGCGCTATCATCACAAAGAATATTAGATACTCTCTCGAGCTGTGGCCCGGATGTCCATATTTCATAAAATCATCTGGCGATGGTGGCTTTGGATTAAAAATGCTTTCGCGCAGCTCGGCGCGTTCATCATCTGTAATGCCGTCCATGGACTCAATCATTTTCCATATCTCATCAGCGCTGGGCATTTGGAAGTCAGCCGCACCAGGACTAGCGCCTGGGGGCAAGGCGAAACCCTGATCACCGCCAGCCGCGGCGGCAGCGGCCACATCTTCGGCAAATGCGCGCTGATTCAATGGATCTTCGGCCATTTTTTATGGTTTGTATTGCTTTTGACTTTGACTTTGGCTTTTAAGTTAAGTTTAAGTTAAGTGTGGCTGGCTTAACGATTTATGGCGTCTGCAAGTTAAAATTTCTTGAGTTTCAGCATCAAAATGCAGGCAATACAATAAAATATTTGGCTACAAACTAAACGGAGTATTTTATAACATGCAACAGCTTTTTCTTTAATTTCAATTTTTTTTTTTCATTTAAGTATTTAATGAATATTTAAATAAAATAATCATTGATTTATGTCGAAGAAATAAGAAAAAAATTCAACGTGGCAAAGAGCAAAGCGAATGACTTCACTCTCAACTAAATGCGCGCGCTCTTTTGCTCTGTTATGGCACTTAGGTCGCCATCCGACAACAGCAGTCGTGGCCGAGTGGTTAAGGCGTCTGACTCGAAATCAGATTCCCTCTGGGAGCGTAGGTTCGAATCCTACCGGCTGCGAGTTGAGTAGCAAAACTTTTTTTTATTATATTTTTAAATGAAATTAAAATGATTTTTCATCACTCATTAAAAAATAACTCACTATTTTCGTATAAATATTATTTAAATACGTTTAAAGATGCGCAACTAACTTGCTGCCGCGTTGCCTGTAACGAACTGAACGTCAAAAGGCAAATCTAATACATAAATTGGAAAAAATAAAAACTTATTCGTAATCAGGTGCGCTTATATTTCATTCTATATGAGATATACGTGCGGACAGGTAGTTGTTGCTGCGCTTTGTATTGCTTTTTTGTTCTTTTTGCTTAAGCGTCAGCATATTTTTTTGAGCAGGTTGTTCGAACTCAAGTCAGTAAATAATATAATATAAGATAAGATGGGCTTATCAGCTGCAATTTATATATATAGAAAACGTCTATGGGCTATAGATTATATATATAGCTATGGGCATGCATAACATAAGAACAAATGCCAGTTAAAAGATACAAATGAAAATTCTAACACGAATCTGAGCACGTGTTTAGAGCTCCGCCATTAACAACTTTTTCTTGTTAGCTGCCAATCAATGGGTAGTGGTTGGCCGCTCTTATCTCTGCGTACTTATCATTTCTGAATTTTGAACAGCAAAAGTTTTGTATACGTATTCAAAAATATACAATAAAAAAAAATAATGATAAGTGCACTAAGTACACGTATACAAAAAAAATCGTTAGAGCTCTGGTAGATACTAAGACTTAATATATTCCAATCAGCATAAAGATAACGGCGTTTCCAATCAGCGTATCAGTGTATAAAAAAGGCAAAGACAATATGGAACGGGGCGGGGCAGCGGCGAGTGAAGTAGTTCAATTCTAGTTAGATTTAGAGTGGTGAAAGTTGGCTTTTGTATTTGTTTTTGTTTTGCTTTTGACCCACATAACAGTAGTGCGGCTTTCATAATGGTGTGGCGGGTGTAGTGGTGGAATGTGGTGTTTTTATTGCATGCATGACGCAACAAAATGCATCCCTAATTTAGGATGCATTTAGTAAACGAACTCACCTGCTAATCCAAAAACAACAACGGCCGGCACATAGAATGCAAGATTTGGTATGGACTGTTGGAACGGTGAGCCGGCATCGGTTAAATCGACCATTGTGTGTAAATTAAGTAGAAATTAAATTATTTGTTTAACTGAGTAGCTAATGCAGCTTGGTAGGCTGTTCACTTTGTGGCGTCTATCACACTTAAAGTTTATCTCAAAAATAGCCGAAACTCGACTCAGATGAAAATAATTTAACTGGCGTTGCCATCTAACTAAAAAAAAAACAATTCGGCCACGCTACGCAAGCTTGTCAAGCTGCAGTGTCGTTAACGCGTTACGTAAAACTTTTTACGCTACTCCACACTAGTTTGTGACAGCTGTTTATTGGCGTGGGAAGCAACTGCAAATTTTGCCAGAAAATTACGAATTTTCGAAAAATCTAACCAAAATGAAGGTTATATATAATACATTGTTCAAACGTACGTCCACATACGCTGTGGCCATCATGGCATCGGCCTTCTTCTTTGAACGCGCTATCGATGTTAGCGCGAACATGATCTTCGACACCGTCAACAAAGGCGTAAGTTTTTTTGTTGCTTATGTAATAAAATTGTGCTTATGAAAACTGAATGTTCCAATTACAGAAACTCTGGAAGGACATCAAGGGCAAGTACGAATAGACGACCGTTTGACTGCAGCTAGTTCTTAATAAAACAATGACATTGACTCATTGTAATTAGCATAACTCAACGTTTATTATAAACGATACAACACCCAAAACAATTTTGTTTTTCATTTTATTTCTTTGTTGTTGTCTGTGTCAATGCGTGCTCCGTTACCTCCCAGGGTTTCTCGTGTCTGTAGGCATCCCAGGGATGGGTAAGTGGAAGTCTGGCGGGTTCCTGGAAGCTGACTCCGTTTTCTTGCACAGCTTGCAGCAGCTTTTCCAGTTTACTGCCGGGAACTGCAGGCACGTTGCAAGTTATCTCAGTAATGCCAGCTTGCAGGCAGCGCTGGGCGAGCACACGGCCCAGATTTACAAATGCAGGTGTATCATTTGTTTTGTACAATTGTTGCTTTATAGCCCACTCTGAAGTGCTGGCACTCAGAATTGTGCCATTTTCGAAATGCTTCACATCGGCGCTAACGTAGCGACCACTTGTGTTAATCTCCAATGTATGCCAATAGGTACGGCCCGGCTTTTCCAGATGATAACCGGTTGGCTTATAGGCTATACGTAATCTTTCAAGATTGCGTGGATTCCGATTGACCACGCACTTGCCATCGGAAGACGGCGTAGTCAATTCTTTAATCTTGTGAAGCACACGGGCTGAGGTGAGTGGGCGTGCACTACGTGACATGATGAAAGTTGTTTATTCAAATAATTGATTTTAATTCACTTTTTATGTAAAATGAATAAATTTTCTTCGATTACAAGTCGATAATTTTAAGAGTATTTTTTACAACAGCTGGCAACACTGCCTATTGTATTTGTTCCCTCTGAATGGCAAACACGCTCAGCTGTTTCGGCTTTGTTTACATAGAAAATTTTCAATTTATTTCGTTTTCCTTTTTGGCCTCCCACATAATACACTGCATTGCTTTCTTGGCAACAGCAATTCACCCAGACATGCGCCCTACAGCGAAAGTGCGCGATAGGCACAAGAATTTATTGCACGGGCCTGAATGCGCAAACCTTGGCCAGCCAAAATTTAACCTGCTCGTTGCCAGTTGCGGTGCAACCTCCTCCCCGAATAAGCAAATTGGCTGTATGTGTGTAGTTTCGCTAAGATAATAACGCTTATGTAAAAACGCGGGTGCCATATACAAGAAAGTATCCAATCTACAAATATACATATTCTCATATACAACAACAATCACATCAAAAGTAAATTAAGTGTTTTCATCATGCTGATGGCAATTTGTGCAAGTTTAAGGCGAATTCGGCCAGATCACGTGAATTTGACTGCCACGCGTAGTTTGTGGCAATCTCATAGGCAGGAAAAGTACCTGCGGCCGATCATCTATGGCCGACATGCGTATATACTGGCCGTGCGGGTAAGAGCTAAGTTTAAACATAATGAAAATTTTTAAATATAGTCAATTAGTTTAGTCCAACTTAATTGATTTTCTGTATTTGTGTGCCTATATGTATATAAATGGCACGCGTATTGATATTCACCACAGCGCAATTGACAATACGACCTGCAGGTCAGGGCTGCTATGCAAAGGCGCGCAATTTGAATAGCAATTTCCGGTGTATATTTTTAAGTGAATAAGACCTAAATAGACGTAAGTGTAATCAATTAGTTTCGAGTCTGTTAATTGGTGGTTTTTAGGTGTAAAGATTTATATATATATATATATATATATATATATATATATATATATATATTTACATATATATATAAATATATTTGAATTATATTTATTATGCATGTTTATTGGACAATTATATTCACCACACCGCAATTGCCTATCTGCCCAGGGCTACAACGCATTAGCGCGCAATTTGAATAGTTTTTTGTTCTTGTCTCTCGGTGCATGCCAAGTGCAAATATGTGTGTAAAAACGTGCTTTCGCAACAACTGATAATTATTTACTGATTATAATGTGCTGCACTGCCACTTGACTATTGCCCAAGCACTCTCTCTAGGTGCGTCGCACTCTTTCTCTCTTTGTTTGTGGCGCCCTTGTACGCATCTAATCGTGCACATTTGAACTTGACAAATTGTCAGTTACGGTTTAAAGCTGCCAGCGCGTAGTTGTGTCCGCCCAAAACAAAATGTTCTTTTATGCTCAGAAACAAGTGCAATACTATAAATCTTAATTGAGTAATGAATATATATATTTATATATATTTATTTATATATATATACATTTATTTAGACATATTTGAAATTAATTGAAGCCGTCTTCAATTAAGCATATGAAACGTTTTGATTGGACTTTAATTGCTCACAGTGAACCTTGTCTTACAGTGCCCAGGTGAATGTCAATGAAATATGAAATAAATATCACACACACACTTTTTTCCTCAAAATTAAATTTAGTTTTGTTACTTTTATAAAATGTAAATTGTTCGAATAAATATTTCTTCGTTTTCGTGTAAGTGAAAAGGCATGAGAGTTCAATATTTAAAAACAGCTAAATTAACAGTTGCAGCTGTTCAGACCAGTTCAGCTGAACAGTTCGTTAATCGAGCTTTTACTGTATTGTGTTTTCTATAAACTGCGTAAATTAAGTTTCTTTGTTTTTGTTGTTCGTCCTCTCTCTCGCTCTCGCTCCAACTTTTTGTTCTGCAGCTTCTTCTCTTATGTAGCACAAAGCTTTGCTATATTCCGTCATATGTAACTCCGATTGTCTCTGAACAAAAATACATCTAATATTTGTATGTATCTTGAATCGAAATGGAGCTGAGAGAAAAGTAGTCTTTGACCTTACATAAAGTACATTTTTAGAGATTGAGACACCTGCCTCATGGCTGTTAATTAGTTTTTTAGCTTGATCGCCATGTTAAACTCCATTACCATCAATTCTCAGCCGTTTGTGCAGGCCCCAGAGGCGCGTCCTTTGCCCGATGATAGATCATTGTCGAGACTGCAGCAGCAGCAGCCGCCGCACAAAGAGCCGCAGCAGCAGCAGGAGGAACAGAAGCAGCAGGAAGAACAGAAGTCGCAGCCAAAGGCACTGCAAAAGGACTCTACACACCAGACAAACACATTGCAGCTAACTTTATCGACAGACAGCATTAGACATACAGCAGACAGGGAGCTCAAGCAACAGGAGAGCCGGTCGTCCGATCGAGAGTCCCCCAATATGGAAAATACGTCATCCGGTGTCGAGATACCATATCCAATCGATTGGATATTTCCACGGCTGCGCAGTCCATCCAAACTTTGGTTCATCACCAGCCAACTAGTGGTCACCATCGTTGGCCTCATCAGCAAGTTTGTTCTAGGTAAGTAAGAATATGTCTGTGAGCATAGACGAGCAGTGTATGGATATAGAATTATATATATTTACTTGATTTTTGTCTTCGGTCCATTTGTCGCTCCTGTAAGAGTATCTCTTCCCGCAGAAGTCAACGGAAAGCAAATCAAATTTTGTTTTTAGTTGCATTTGTGCATTACAATATTTTTGTCGTTTCTCTTTCTACACGCTATATCTTATATATATACTATATAAATTTCTTTATCTATTTATATTTGCTTAATTTTGTTTTCGTTTAGTTTTGGGCCATCACGGCCAAGATGCTTCCTGTTTGCATATTAATTCAAATTTGCTCTTGCAAGCATTACATAGCTTTCGTCTAATAGGGCATGATCAACTTATGTAGCTCTCTTTAACCGCAATTAGCTGTTTCCTAATGGGGCATGCTCGGCTTAAACATATCTAAACCATTCTACTCTTCAGTTCACAACAGTTTCTTAAGTTAAGGTGGACCTAAACATAGTTAAGTTATATTATCTAGCTATATCCCAACATCGCATGGTTATACTCACAACCTTAAGGTTATATCCCCCTCTTATTGTTACGCTATAAGCTTGACTTAACTATAATTGCTGTACTCCTCACTATCTCCTCTCTCACAGTTGTAATGAATAAAACTCGAGTGTACAACAAGGAGCGTCTGGTGAAAGCAGTGGTCAAGCGACCAAAGGGCATACCCTTGGTAACCGTCTCCAATCATCACTCCTGCTTTGATGATCCCGGTATTTGGGGCATCCTTCCCATACGCTATGTCTGCAATACATTTCGCATTCGATGGTCCATGGCTGCACACGACATATGCTTTACCAAAAAGATTCATGCAATGTTCTTTATGTACGGTGAGTAGTCTACAAAACGTGTTATTTATATATCTATATATGATACTTTAACTGTATAACTGTATTTTACAGGTAAATGCATACCTGTGGTGCGTGGCATTGGCGTGTACCAGGAGGCGATCAATCTGTGCATCGAGAAGTGCGCTTTGGGGCAATGGGTACACGTGTTTCCCGAGGGCAAGGTGAACATGACCAAGGAGGAGATGCGTCTCAAATGGGGTGTGGGTCGGATTATTTATGAATCGCCCCGCATTCCCATTATACTCCCCTTGTGGCACGAAGGCATGGATACTGTGCTGCCCAATGTGGAGCCCTACAAGCTGCAGTGGCGCAAGAAGGTCACTGTCAACATTGGCGAGCCGCTCGATTTGAATGAATTCGTGCAGACTCTCAAGGATACGCGAGTCCCAGAGCCTGTGGCTCGCAAACTCATCACAGACAAAATACAAGACGCCTTTAAGGTATGGTTGGACACCAATCACAATCAGTTTATGTACTTAATCGTAATTGTTTTTCAGGATCTGCGTAACGAAACAGAGAGATTACATGAGGAGCGTGCTTAACCGGGATATTCATGCTTTAGCATATAAAACTATGAAAGCTTATTTATTTTTATAGTATTAAGCCCAAAATGAAGCCTCCATAGAATGTTATATATATTTATTGTATTTACAATTTTCATATTAGTATATATGAGGCTTATGCTGCCAGTGTGCGAAAATTATCAAATTAAGCAATCAGAACAATTATTGTGTGACGTTTACTTTAAGTAAATTAGTGTGTTAAAAGGCGCTGCATTTTTTGTTTCGTTTAGTATTTAATTCAATAAGCTGGCAACGCCAGCATATGCACCGATCAACAGCACTATTGTGAACTTTTATTTTAAGTAAAAGAGTGTATTATCAGATTGATTAATAACAACGAACAAGTTAAAATGCGCTGCATTTTTTATATTTTGTTTAGTATTTATTTCAAAGAACTGGCAACGCCATTCAATGCACCGTTTAGCTTTTCACGTTTAAATAAGATTCTTGCCAAATAAATAACTCAAACATTAAAGATTAATTTTTAATGGCGATTATATAAAAATAGGAGCTCCTTATTAACATACCAAAAAGTAAAAAATATTTGAGGCAAGCTCTGTTCAAGTTCAAAAGCGCAGCAGCATTCAATTTATTTATTTAAGTAAGCTGGCAGCACTGTTAGGCACTTGTCAGCTGTTGAATGCACCGTTAAACGGCACATAAAAATGTAAGTCAATTTAATTGAAAATAAATATTAAAAATAGGTAAAAATCTAATTTGCAGGTCCTTTTTAAAGAGAGAAAGTGCGCTGGTGCTAAACACACCAAAGCGCATAGAGCTGCTCAAAGACGGTCCACCAGTGACAGAAAGGTCCAACAGGTGTCAAATTTTGGGCCGAGGAGCCTATGGCACAGTCTTTAAGGCTATTTATAGAGGTATATGCCAAAATTACTTTCGATTAGCTGTTATTTTAATTATAATATATTGCCAGAGCATGCCGTGGCCCTGAAAATTATTAAAACCGGCGCCGTATCCACATTGCAAAATGAGGCGCACGTTTTGAACTGGAAGCACAAAAATATCGTTCGTTTGATTAAGATGGAATCGACGCCCGAGTTTGGTTTGCTTATCATGGAGCGACCCAGTGGGCTATGCCTGCAGCGTGTTTTAGATACGCTTGCGTTGCCATTGTTGCACAGAGTGTAGTAAGAGTTGGTACATCATCAAAAATATATAGATTAGTGTAAATCATATTTTTGCAGCATAACGCTCGATATTCTGGCTGCTTTGCGATATTGTCATTGTCAGCAAGTGTTGCATCTGGATGTGAAGCCTCCAAATGTGTTGGTTGCATTGGGCACCAAGCAGACCGGATTTGGCAAACTGGAACAGTTTAAACGTCGCTACATCTGCAAGCTTTGCGATTTTGGTAGCTCGCTTCGATTGGACGATGAACATAGCAGTGCAAAGGGCACATTGCGTTATATGTCGCCGGAAGCGTTGCGTTCCTTGCCCTTGACCAGCGCCTCGGATATTTACTCCTTGGGCATTACAATGTGGCAGTTGCAGGCACGTCGCTTGCCCTACCATACGCTCAACTGCAACGATTCCATTGCCTATCAGGTGGTTAAGCATGATTTGCGCCCCGATAACTATGCACTACTAGAGTCACTTGAGATGGGCAAGGAACAGTTGCCCTCGAATGGCTGTTACTGTGGAACCGAGTGGGCAGATGGCTCTGTGGAGCTCATGTACAGCTATATAGGTCGAATAAGGCCACAACTGGATGTGCTACTCTCTACTGATCTGTACAAAAAGGTGCGTCGCAATCTAAACTTTGAGTCCAACCATGGACGTGTGCATAAGCGGCACAAACAGCGCAAGCAGCCGAGACTCGCGCACTATTTCGATGAACCAACAACCGATGCGTCCAGGTGTCTTGAAGGTGTTTATAGCGAGCTATATAAAAGCTGTTGGCTGAGCCAACCCGAGCTGCGTCTAAACGCTCTCCAGCTACAAAAACGCTTGGAGCTGATCTTAAACAAGTGCGTATTGAACTAATATTTAAATCTCTACAAGAATTTTAGTTTCAAATTTTTTATATTTTGTTGTAATATTTCTTTTATGTTTAACTCTTATTTCTTCAACATATTTTTAATTTATTTATAATATATATTTTTTTTATTAGCTTTTATGCAAATGAAAAACATTTTCGCATTGTTTTAATAATTTATATTTCGTAACTTTTTTTGTTTATTGTTTACTGTTTTGTACTTGCTACGCTAAGAAAATACATTTATAATGTTTTATACGAGCTTAAATTTATAATTTCTCAATTTTGTTTTCTGTCGAGCGTAGTGCGTTTGCTATAGGTCGTACATACTATATACCATATACTATATATATATATATATATATATATATATATATATATAACTCGTACTTAGGATGTGATTGCAAGGACTGAACCAAAGTTCGGTTGCTACTTAGAGAGACTAACTAGAGAGTAGAAGAAGAGTTGGTTGCCTATATATATATATATATATATAAATATATACAGTTTATTGTAATCGCTTGGAAACCATATATACCATATATATATCTACTGTATCTGTATGTATGTATATATATATATATATACTGCATATGCATTTTTATTTTTTTGTTTTTCTTGTTTTTCACCCAAATTTTAGCGACTGTTTTATAACTGTTCTACAAATCTATATGTTTATATATATAGTACACTCGATTTTGTGCGGAAGACTACATTTTTATATATATATTCTATTTGTTTTATTATATTTATAGTTCTGTTTACTGATAGTTAATAGTTTTATTAGTTTTTGTTGACGCTTTGCTCAGATGCTGAGCAAAGCTTTGGCTAGTCCAATAGAAATCATATATATATATATATATATATATTGTATACAGATTATACAGCTTATAAAGTTTACATATATATATATATATATTTATATATATTGAAGAGCTCATCTTCTTTTGATCAGTTTGGAAATGCAATTTGGGAACTTGTAACTGCGAGCGTTGCTCTACTAAACTGTATAGAGTACGTCGAGCCTTGTATCGACTGTAGTAAACATTATCCAAAAATCTTAAATATATATATATATAGGTGTGTGTATATATAATATAAATATGTTAGATTCGTGCGTGCACGCCCTCTCCTGCTACTTCTCTCGTTTTTAGTTTGAATATATATCACAATTTAGTCTTTTAAATCTTTAAATCTATGGCGAATGCACTTGGCTATTCGCTCTGTCGCTATCAATTTATAGAATTCTGTTTGAGATTATGTTTAGAGGGGGATTGGGGCGTCTCTTAGCTGGCATAGGAACGACGCACGGGTACAGGTGGCGGAATTTTGGATTTGCGCTGCTGCGAAGGTTGCTGTTGCTTCGACTGTTGCTTCTGCTGCTGTTGTGTCAGTTTCTGCGTCTGCTTTGGCGGCGAGGGCGAAGAGGGCGTTGAGGAGGAGCAGGATGAACTGATAGAGGATGTGGTTGATGTAGTGTGTATGCACGTGGGTATACGTGTTGGCGGCGCCTTTTGCTGGCAGCTCTTTGGCAGCTCCGTTGTCTTTGTTGTTTCCTGCAATGATTTGACTATGAGCTGTGTATTCCATGTCTAGAGTAATGAAGCACCTACCTTTTTGGGTGATCCGGCAACTGGAGAGGTGACACGCTTCCAGCCATTGCTGCGACGCCAGGAGTTGGCCGTTGGATTCGCTGGGTGCCGCTGCAGTAGGCGCTCTTTCAGCTTCGATACCACCGCTGGCGAGGGTGGCGAATCTTTGGCCATTTTAGCCATCAGCGCACAGCTGATGCTGTCGCTGCGCACCACGCTGGACTCGAGCTCACGGCGCTGATTGTGGCGCAATATGCAGCTGGGCTCCTGCTCCTCTAGCACTGACTTGGACTTCACCAGTACATGGGGTGGGCGACGCAGCTCTGTCTTGATGATTTGCGCAATGCATTGCTGTTCGTTGAGAGGAGGTGACGAGCTCTTCACCAGCGGCACATCCTCGATCTCGATGTCGCTCACACGTCTTCGGCATTCGTCAATGACCGCATAATCATGCTCATCTTCATCCTCCTCTGCTTCCGCCTGCTGTTGCGGCAGAGGCGCCACAGAGTGCTCATCGGTTTCGCTGGAGGAGCAGCTGGTCAGTTGGGCACGACCCGCCTCGCTGGGCGTCGGACTGACGCGTTGCTTAATCTGACTCTCCGACATGCTTGAGTCCTGCTCATCTTCCTCATCCTCATCGTCCTCATCATCAGTCTCGCCTTCCACATAAGAGAAGAGGCTGCGCGAAGAATTGGAGCGTATGTTGACCAGCTTATAGAAGTCGTTGGTAAAGTTCGTGCAGGCAACCTCCTCGTCCTCCGAGTAGACAAGCTGCAATGGTAGAGAATAAGTCAATTGGCAATGGACGTCAGCTGAGGAGCTTAACTCACCTTCTGCTGCAAAAGCTGGGCAATTCCATCGGCCACAGAATCATCCGTCTCCACGGTCGTCGAATTGATGAAATCGCTCGAGGGCCAAAGCCAATCGTGCTCTCGTTTGCGTCGCTGCAGCTGCAGCTGTTGCCGATCGCGTTCGTCGTCGAAGGTTATCACAGCCAGCTCCTCCTGCGACATGCTCCAGTCTTCCATTTCCGTGGAGCAGGGCTCTGCAGGCAGCAGCCATTGCTCCGGCTCCTCGGGCAGATCTTCCAGATGCCCATTCGATGGCTGCGGCTGACCGCTGCTCATCGTGCAGTAACCCTCATCACGTCCTTTGACCGGGCTCGCTGACAGCGCTGCATTCTGTGCCTCCAGATCGCGCACGCGACTCTTCAACATGCTCACCTCCTCCCGCAGATTATCCTCGGCCACAATAGCGTCCACCACCTTGCGCATCACATCGTCCAGGCAGTGCTCGTACTGTCGTATTCGTGTTAGCAGGGCTCGATTCTCCTGCTGCATCGTGTGTAGCAGACTCTCCTGGCGTGCAAAGCGTGTCTGCGCAGAGAGAAAGGGAGGCTTATTAGGTATAAAATCTGTTCAGCTTTACCTAAGCTTTAGATATAGATAACATATTTTATCAGTGGTTCGCTTCAAAAATTAATGCAAGCCTCTGTCTGGAGGTTCGGCTCATGGAGACTAAGCCTTGATCCTTCCGATTTGATTTTCGGTTCTCAAGCCAAAGGAATACTTTGGCCTTGGCAGAGTCGCTTTCAAATTTCAAGGCTTGGTTAGACAGATTTCTGATTATCAGTTATTCGATTTACAGTTCGTTCCGCCCTAAGACGGATTCTTTACAATTAAATTCAAGATTAGAGCCTTGGTTAAACCAGTTTACATAAACGATTCAATTTAGACCAAGGTTTGATACTTTAAAGGGCAATTTATGTGTTTTAAGCTCTATTTTATAGTTTAATTAAAGTGGTAACTCCGAGTCAACTTCTGAAATCTCGTGTAATGATCTACCCCAACTCCCTGCGACACTTGCATTGACGAGGGTCGCCCGTTGGCCGCGATTGATCGATACAGCACTTCGGCTGGCAGCAAGTCAAAAGTGCTAAATGAACGAATTACATGCAATCAAATAGACGCCAATGAGACGCCAAATTCCCCGCCCATTTCATCTGACCAGGTCTTGTTAACTGGCTCGAAGGTCACTGCAACTCGATTCGAGAGTTCGTGAGTGTGAAAAACCTTGGGCTTCATTAGAGTCGCTTTAACAAAAGAAAAACAAATTTACTCGACTTAAGCTTAGCCAATGTCAGTTAACGCCGAAAGCCCAGAGAAACAATTTCGAATAAAATCTTAACAGCCACCCACTGCAGGGGGAAGGGGGCGTGGCAGGGAGAGGGGCGCCTTTCGCCTGTTGGGCAACGAAAAGATGCCGCAGTGGAGCGCAGTGAAGCGTCTCTAATGCAAACGCTCAATCAATTTCCTAAAAAGAAAAAAATTTAAGTAAAAGACGCAGAAGTTAAGGAAATAAAGCAAGTGTAAGGCGAAAAGAGAGAAAGAGAGTGAGAAAGGGGCAGACTAAAAGATACCCTATACAAGGCTAAGAGTTTTTTTTAACAAGTCACATTTCGACTTTTTAATTTAACTTAGAAAATAATACTTATCGATAATAATCGATACTTAAGATGGTAATTAGTTGATTAGATCAAATTATGGATTAATATAGACCTTGGTAAGGAAGATATTGAAACATGATAAGCAGATTATATAACAAACATATGAATAATTATGCATATTGAAATTTATCGATTTTAAGGATAACAAGTCGATAACAAAGTATAATATAGAAGCGTGTATATGCTCACTAATTTTTGGTTCCTGCTGCTCCTGTTTATAGTAACGACTTCTGTTGGCTATTCTTTATCCGCTTTACAGGGTATCCTAAAACAATATGTCGGGCAAAAAAAAAAAACAATTTCAACACGTAGTCTCAGTTTTCTCAGCTTCGCAGCCTCGGCCCAGATAAGCGACAATTTGTATGCACAAAATGGTAGCGAGGGGAGACATTGTTCTTAAAAATGAATTTATGCGTTTATTTATGACTTCGTTGAGACTTCGTCTGCGTCTTCAATAGAAACTGCCCTGCTACCGAGACAGACAGGCAGTCGACTTTAGCCCCCACAAAGCTCCACAACTTCCCCAACTTCGCAAGTTGAACTTAAAAAAAAAGATAGAAAAAAAACGAAGCAAGAAAAACTGAAAAGAAAACTCTTTGGCCACAGAGTGCAAATTGTATTTTCCACATGCTGCGCATAACGCGAGGGTGGTTCAAGCAGTTTCTTAAAGCTAAGGAAAGAAGAGCAAGTTTAAGCTTAAGAAATTTGTCAAATAAGAAATATTTGAGTTATTTTTTGTTAGGAATTTTGTTAAAATCAAATACTTAACAAGCTTAAGCTGAACAATTGTAAAAGAAAATAACCAAAAACTCTTTTTTATTTTTCTATTTTGTTGTAAATTTTCAGTAGCTTTCATATCAGCCCTCGCAGCTGTTGCTACAGCGCATAAAGCACAACATTAGCAATAGCAATAACCAACTCACCTCCCCCCAATCGAGATATATATACGTATATGGGGTACATACCTGCAGGGCCTTGTGATCCCGACATGTTTGCAGTTGTTTGCGTTCTTTGGATTTCATAATGCGATTCATGCTGCAAGCGGAAGTGTTGTTGTTGGTGTGAAAGAGACAGCGAATAGAGAGGCAGGCAAGCAAATGTGTAGAAAGAGACAAGAAGAACAGAAAATAAAACATAAATAAATAAATGTAAATGGTAGGAAAATAACAAGTTGCAAACGTATCTGTGTGTGTTAGTCTATGTGTGTGTGTGTGTGTGAAAATCAAAGTTAAGCGCGAATTGAAAATTGGCGTAATTAGCTTTTCAACCGGAATACAAAGCAAGAAGGGAGGGACGGACATAGGCACGGAAGGACGGACGGACGGAAGGACTGGCTGTTTGTGCTGCTGTTTTTGCTGCTGCTGCTGCTGCTGCTGCTGACTGATTGATGGCCGCGTCTAGGCATAGGCATGTTTCTAATGGCCAAGACCCAGGCCCTGCTGACTGCAAATAAATGCTTCCTGATTGCCAAGCTGCGCCAACTCCTCTGCACCTCGCTCTTGTTCCTACTGCTTCGCTTGCCCTTCCCCTTACTCGTGCAGCTTTCCAAGCCATTCGCTTTGCTTGACTTGGCTCAGTAATTTGGAAAATTGCATTCAGTGCCGTTAACTTTGGCCAAGTCTACGAGTTACCCATAGTTCTCTCTCCCTCTCTCTCTCTCTGGCTTCTCAATGCGTAAGTCGTTGAAGGCGTTCTTGGTCACGAATTTGGTATGAAATATATTTAACGTCTTCTACGACTGCTTGGCCAACGCCAGGCGAAAAGAAACTCTTTCAAAAATTGCATAATTATGTAGCGGAAAATCCACAAAGAACAGGCCAAAGTGAACCCTCTCTACATACATTTTCCATGCTGTCCCTGGCTAACATTTGAATTATAATTTAGTTTTTCCCCCAATAAAATGGAATGCATAAAACATTCAAGCAATTCTTCTTTTTGGCAGCGCTCGTAAATATTTACATAATTCTCCAATATATTATTTGTCTATGCCCTAAGTTTTCCTAAGTAATTGTTAACCTAGTCTTAAGCGGTTGTGGGATTTGAACTTTAAGCTTATTTATTATATATATATTTTTTTGTATAGCGTTTATAGTTATAGTTTTGCTTCTATTGTGGTTTTATCAAGATGAGTTAGATCTGTGTTTTGTGTAGTTTGAACCACTGTCTATTAATCTTTTTTATTACTTCCCTTTCCTATAAAGCGCTTCCATTATCATGTGCCACATTTTATAATTATATTTTCTATTTCTTTTTGCCATTTCTTAAAATTGCAAAGCTTGAACTTCCGTCCACTTTACTACTATCCCCGTCTACAAAGTATTTATACTGTTATGTTTCTTCTAATGATCTATGAACCTCTACTTTTATCTTTTATATATACATAATTTATATTTACCAAGTCATTCTTTTGTGGTAGCATTAGCATTTTCTTAGCCATATAGAACGTACTCAACTCTATAGTTAAGTACTTTTTCGTTTTATTTACACATTCAATTGGCTTTATTGTTAATAATTTGTAGTCTAGTGTTCTTCTTGGTCACTTCTTTGATTTACTTCTATAGCCACAGCTTTAATTTTTTTGTGTTCTGTAAACAACCTTTGTAGTCTAGTGCTTTTCTACTATCAACTGCTCGTTGCTATGCTCCAGCTTTATTGAACCATATTTAAGAAGTAAAACCCTCTGATAAACCCCATAGATAAGCAATTGAAGTGCTAGGCGGAACAATTACTAGACACTTAAGTGTTTTGTATAAAGAAATACTTAGCCTACATACCATTAGAAATGCTTTAGAGTGCAAAGATTATGATCAATGTAACATTAAGGACAAGGAAGTCAAAGAACTCTTTGTCTTTCCAAAGAGAATCAAATGGAACTGTTGAAAACGGCTAGACTAGTTGATTTTTTATAGAATTGTGGCATAAAAGAAAGCTCAAGATGTAATTGTGATGAAAAGGAATTTTGAAGGACTATATAAGGGATTTATTATTGTATATTTAAGCAGTGAATGTGGAAAAGCCTAACAAACTTGAAAATTGAGTAGCAATTAAAGCGAACATAGAGAACTTTTGTATTTAACTTAACATAAAAAATGTCGCTATTTATTCTAAAACTGACTAATTAGTTCAGGCAGCTTCAGTTTCAAGGATAACTTTCAAATAAAGTTCTATACTTATGTGTCTAGCTAATAAATTAAGCAAATTTAGACAGAAAGACAAGTTAACATATAGTTAGTCTGGAGGACTGATGCTACCTGTTCAACTAATTGGTTAAGCAAATTAAGATTCAAATTCAGACTGACTTCTAACTAAAGTGACGCAGTAGGACAGTTGCATAGTAAAACTTTGTTGTTTTGCGTAGTTAATAATAATTTAAGTTTTATTATGTGTAGCTAATAAGCTGAGCAAGTCTCGTCTGGAAGACAGCATGAGAACTAATTGAAACTAACAAAAAAGTAACCCTGGAGGACACAGCGACAATTTTCATAGACAAGTTCAATTGTTGTGTAACTGATAAGTAAATGAATATAAATGGAAGTACACACACACACATACATAAGTCTATATATATAAACATATATATTATATATTATATATATATATATATATTTATATATATACATATAAATATACTTAATGAACTGTGATGATAATGTCACTTACTTTTCGATTTGCTCGCGCAGCTCCTTCTCAAACGTTGGCGACCCGCATTGGCTCTGTAAAAAGTGCATTAAAGAAGCAAGAGTTGGGGTAGGGAAGGGCATTTATATAGATATCTATATTATATATATAGTAAATGAAACGCTTAAGTAATTAAATACAATAAATTAGTGCAGTTGGCCAATGATTAAGAGAGACAATTTTATTGCCAGATATCACAGATACAATCAACGCGGACAGCTGATGGAAAGTGACAAAAAGTCAGGGTATGCCGAGACTTGGTGTGTGTGGGGGAGTCTAAATGAAATTGAAAATAGAAAGAGAGAGAGAGAGAGGGACAAGACGAGGTGAACCAGACACAAAGACAGAGCCGACCTTACACGCCATCCCCCAATCCCCATCGACCCATTCGACTAGACTGCAAAGCTCTAAATGGCATCAAAACTTCGCTGCGAGAATGCGGAACAGCAGCTGAGCTGAGACGAAGGTGAGGGCAGAGTGAGAGGGAGCTGTGTGTGTACTCTGTTGCATGCAACAATAAATCAACAGAGTCAACAACCGGCAGCTAGTGCCCCAGCACGCCCCCTCCGCCTGCCCCTTGGCTGTTGCGCTTTTGGCGTGAAATGTAATCGATAAAAAGTAACATCACGACGTTTTCATCCAACTGACGACAGCTCACATAGCTACACAGCTACAGCTAAAGATACAGATACACTCACAGCAACAACTATACAGAAACAGATACTTGGCTAGAATTGGCTGAGCGACAAGCGTTTGTAATAAATCGTTTTGGTTTTAGTGCAAATATAATGAATGACAACACAGCTTCGAGTCTAAATCAAATAGAGCTGCTTATGATGCAAGGCTAGGGATAGAAAAAGTTAAGCAAATAAGATGTCAGTTTAACTAGAAGTTAGATAGACAGATAGATATATACATATATACTATTCAAATAAGCTCTTTAGTAAACACGACTTTTTGCATAGTTAATTACGATTGCTGCTTAAACACTTCCTCATAAATAAAAGTTCGCTTAAAACAAATGAAACTCGTTTCAGGTACAATTTTAATTTGAGTTTTAGCTGAATTCTAGGAAATTTTCTCTTGCTAACTTTATCTTTATCTTTAAAAGAGCTATTCAATTGAACTGCAAGGAAATATTTTTCATTTTATGAAGTATAAATTCTGCGAATCCCTGTACAACTTTGAAATTTGATAATGTTAGAGTTTATTATATTATTCTTTATATATTCAGATATTCCTTAAAACTCTGCGATTTCTTTAAAAATTATTACAAGAACTGAATGTAGTTAAAACAAAATGTTCTAGGAGTCAACTGCAGTCTGATACTCTGATTCTGATACTCTGTTTGCTAAAAAAATGCATCGCTAGCATTTTCATCAAGGGATGCGGACAGTATATATATCATTATATTATTTTATTATTATTATGGACTTTTGAGGAGTGATCCTATTATTCTTCATTTAAAAAAAATGTTATTATTTATCCGTAAAAAATTGAATATTTTCTAAAAGTAGAATTTAATTTAAGTAAACTTTGAAGCTTTCACAAATATACCCCTTTTCACTTTTGCGAACAGTGCATAAAGGCGACTCTCAAGCTCTCACTCTCACTTTCTGGAATACCTTCGAAATTTTGCTTAATATTAAAATAAATATTGCGAATACCTTAATGAAAGTGCTTCAGTTGGAAGCAACATTCCATTCCATGCCTTAAAAATGCCTTTGATATAAGACAAATATTTGTATATATATAAAGGCCTGCTTGTATACCCTGTGGTAAGATTAACTCTTCTCTTACTACTCAGTCTCTCTCTCCCTCTCTGTCACTCTACCCCATCTCTTCGCTCTGCCCACTTTATATGCTAATCAAAAATGTATCAACTTTGTCCTTATAATAGAAAAAGTTGTTTGCTTATATGTGAAGTTAGAATCCTCATTGTTATACCCTATGTTTTCCAGAGCCTATGCTTGAGAATGACAATAAAAAGGCAGCAGCACGCGCGAAAACAACAGACGGCTGGGGCCGCAAAGCCAAACCCACCCCCACTCACACCAGCCCACTCCACTCCACCCGCTTTGCCGCAATAAAGCTGAAGCTCGCTTACTGAATTACAAAATATATATGCAATAATTTTTATTAATTCGCCCAGGCATCAGGCGAAACATAATACAATATTAAAATGCTGCCGACACAAAATTCTGTAGCTAGCAGAGCCGCCTCTTATACCAAGCCCCACTCCGCTTTCATGACTACCCCTACTGCTGTTGCCGCATTGCTCGTCATCTTCATCTCGTGCCAGAAATCAGGCGCCAAATGGGCAAACGCGACTGCTGTGGCAGACTGATTGCCGTCCTCCTCCTGCAGCTCCCTAACACCCAGACAAGTGCTGCCATGGGTGGAGCGAGGAAGGGGGCGTGGGGCGTGCTGCGCTCCCATCTAAGGCGCCACTTGTGCCAGTGGCTGTATGGCAGTGGCATAGAATGATGAACGTGTTAATAAAATTAGAGCCCAAACAGCAGGCGTGGCGGCAGTGGGGCACTGTTTGTGCCCCCACAATCCACACTCCACACCCCACGCTCTCTCCTATTCATAAGAAATGCTATTTTGGGCAACTGGTGCGGCTGTCAACAGCTGTTGGCTACTGCCACTGCACCCACAACAGCAACAGCAACAGCAACAACAACAACAACTGGCGCATAAATATTCATTGTGAATTTTTGCTCATAAAAAAGCAGAGCCTAGACAAAAGGGGGCCAAGTGAGGAGCTGGGGAATTTTTTGTGTGTTTTGGGGGGTCCAGCCTGTGCGCTGCCCATTGATAAACTCATAAAATCGAACCGGACTTTTGCTTATTAATTAAAAGCCTCGAACAAAGCCTGGGCAAACCAAGAACTAAATTTCCATAAGTTTCAATTAGTCAATGACACAGGACTAGGTGGCTTAGGGTGGCCCAAAAAATTGGCAAAAAGAAATGTGACTGCATGAAACTGGCATAGGCCAGTGTCTCATGTACGCTCTGGTATCAGCTTGTTTTTCCAAATTGGAAATATATTATTATAGGAATTTAATAAGCATGTAGAGGCGACTTCTTTATTTTCTTTAGTTTCAAGTAGTCTAGGTACCTTAGGGTGGCCCAATAAATTCAAGGAAAAATAACTATGAATCGGGCAGTCTGTAATACTGGTTTAAGGCCGTCATTTATAAATCTTTTCATTCATTTTAATTACCCAACGCCACACGACTAAATATGTTAGGATGAGCCAAAAAAAGTGGGGAAAAGCTAGCAAGCATCGCTCCAATTGTTCGTAAATGACTGACAAATACTTTTTAAGGGTTTGAATTCGATTGAATTTTGCATAAAATTTAATTAGTGACACACGTCGAGGCATGTTAGGGCGGCACAAAAGGAAAAGTGAGTAAGCTGCTAAAATAGGGCATAGCCAACTAAAAAATACCTGTTCTAAAATATTTATTTAACTAAGAGTCTATGAATATGGATGGATATACTCTTAATTGATATGCAATGTCCCTGACATAGATTAATATATCGAATACACCTTTTTATGCAAGGATAAACAACTGGAATATAATATTTGTAGGTCTATTGACTAGATTCTTCAGCTTTCTTCACTGCTCTAGCTTCAGTAACTTACATTAGCAATGCCTATATCCCCCATTTTCATTGCTGTGTGGGTATTAAAACATGTTGATGATTTAGGGTTGTCGAAATTAACAAAACAAATCCCGGCAACATGTTGCACTCGTGGCAGGCTCAATGCCAACAACCAAAACAACAATAAGTCTTAAGCCTAGGGGGCGGGCGGTCCACATAAAAAACTGAATCAGAGGGTGGCCACCGGAGTGGATCAGCGAAACATTTGCACCCGCTATAATCCCTGGACAAGCCACCCCCCACACACACAGCGAGGGGGATGCAGTTTATTAAAGTGGAAGGGGTGGCTGTTCCGAGTGTGCCAAAATATTTTACTGATAGATTTCTGATTGAGGTGTGTGGGGCGATTCCTTAGAAAATGTTTGAAACCAGCTTATTAATAATTAACATGCAGATTGAGCAGCGGGTGGTAAATGTCTAGTTGCTCTAAAAGGGGCAGCTGAACAAGCCAATCAGCTGTCAATCTAATTGTAAGTATAATTTCTTATGAATGTAAATTTACAAGAGGGCTTATGGAAGTTATAGGAGGAAGAGGAAATATAATAGGAAGAAATTCTATAAAATGTCTATAGGTTTTTTGAGTCTTTTTTGTATACACATGGAATAGGGGTTGCAATTCCGACAGAAATATGGATTAAAAAAGCTTAAAAATGGTTGAAATATATTCTTATAAGCCCAGTTAAGCTTCATTTTTCATGAATATCTAAAAAGCTAATACCATAAAAAAAATTACAAAAAATAATAAATTTATGAAAACAGTAAGAAACCACATTCAATTAAGTATTTACCTTAAACAGATAAATACTTAGAAAATAGGAAAATTTTTTTATTAAAGTAAGTTTTTGGGTAAGAGAAATTTGCAACGATATTTTATGGCTGCGAAAGAAACTTCGAAGTTGCGCTGAGTGGACATAAAATAAAAAACTTATTCAATTTGTTAGAAAAATCTTACCATTTCAATAGCTGCAATATGTCAATATATCAGTTGCTTATTGATGTTTATCTGCAAGCTGTAATTTGTGGAAAGTTCTTTACAAAAGCACATTACGAGCAAAGTAACAACAAACGGTCAAAAGGCAAACCGCAAGCAACCGGTAGCACAATATGCACATACACACACAAGCATGATAACCATAGAGATGTGTCTCTATATGTGTGTGTGTGTGTGACATGTAAAGCAATACAAACAACGGCACAAAAGCAACGGCGACAGAGACAGCGAAGGCGACGTCGACAAACAACCGGAGTTACTTTAGCCTCGGGCGCTGTCCCCAAGCGTTGTCATAATGTTTGCAGAGCACAACCAAAACAGACAAAAAAAAGAAAAAAAAAACTGTATGTATAAACCCCCAAAACGAGC